GGTGCTGACACAATGGTTGTCCCAATGATCTGAAGCTGACTCTCTGAGAAGGTAGACCAGGCAGCCCTGCTGCTTGTTGGGGTGGGAGGAGGGGCAGGTGGAGACCTGCCTGCTCCCAGGCCTCCGACTTCCTCTAATCACTTCTCTCCACAAATGGAATGGAATCAGGCTGGCAGCCTCCCAGGGGCCAGGCCCACCCTTGTTTCTCCCTGAGGCCTCTGCCAGCTGAGTGTCCCCTCTGCCATCCAGGACCCCAGGTCAGTCTGTGTGTGCTTGGTGGCTGGAGTGGGACTCTGAGAGTGAGATAGGCGACAGTCTCGCTGCTCTGGGGGAAAATTAATCACCCTGCGTTCCACAAATTATTTGGAGATTAAAAAGGAGAGGGAATGCATGCACTAGTCCCTTACTGGGATGACACCAGAGGCTTACTCCCACCTTCACTAGGGCAGGGTCTTTCCCCATTGCACTCCATACCTGTTTTTCTAGAAAATCTAATCTGAAACCAAGTTACTTCTGTGCCTGGTGTGAGGAAAGGCACATACAGGTCCTCTCTGGCCAGGGCCTTAACTGCTAAAAACTGCTTCCAGGTTGCTGCTGGGTTCCAGGCTTCAGATGTGGGTTAGGATTCTGAGACAGTGGCCCCTGGCTGGGACCTAGTCTCTCTGAGCTTCCATAGTTCAACGAAATGAAGATAGCAATGCTTCCCTTGGGAACAGCATACAACAGGTGCTCAATAAACATAGGGCCCAGCTTCTCATGACTGCCTTGGGACAGAGCAGACAGAGCCCACATAGCCCCCAGGTAAAGACTGGGCCTGCTGTCTGGGCTTGGTTCCCCAGGGACCACCCAGTCAGCCTGCCTGCTACAGGGCAGACTCCAGATTAGAACCGCAGAAACAGCGGGCAGCTGTGAGGATGCCAGCTTCCTCCCGCAGGTGGAAGGGCCATTCGGGGCCAGGCCAGGGGCGGGCAACATAGTTGACCCTTGATGTCACACCCCCAGACTGGAATGTTCCCGTGCCCTTTTCTGAAATGGAAACTGAGGCTCAGAGAGCTCTATTCTCTAGTTAATGGATATCCAACTGGGCTTCCCAGCTTCACACCCCAGCTGGGCTGGGGGAGGGGGGGGTTGACAAGAAGGCAAGTGGTTTGGCAGAGGGAAGGTCTGTAAGCTTTTATTGGTATGGTTTGGTATGGTTCAGCTAAAGATGGGTCATGCTTCCTCCTGGGAGACCTCTCCCCCTCTCAAGTCCTGGCATACCTGCCAGGCAACATGTGGGCCTCACAACAGCTCATTTAGGGCTCCAGGTGAGTGATTGTGGGCCCCCCACTAAGGCATGGGGGAGGGCCTCAGGTTCCAGATGAAAGGCCAGAGGTGCCTCCCCATCTTCACTCCTCCTTACCTGAGGCCCTCTTCCCAACCTGTGCCATCACCTGGAGCTCCAGGCCCTGAGCACATTTGGGAAACCAAAGTGTTTCTCTTTTATTTAACTCCCCCATGCAGGCCCCGCCCGCTCCAGCGAGGTCCCTCTGCCTAGAAAGATGTGTTACAAGTGCCTAGTGAGTATCAGGCCTGCAAAAGGCATCCTGGGCCCCTGATAATGTGGGGATAGGAATGTGCTCCCCTCAGGGTTGCTGAGGGATTAGATGAGACAGAGTAATAGCTGAGATCAGGAGCTCCTAGGGCTCGGTTCACAGCAGCCACCGACCCATCTTGTACAAGGCACAGGGGGTCGGAGGGGAATGAGCTTGGGAATGCCATCTCCTAAGAGCCACAGGACAGCGGGTGTTGGTGTCTATCTGCTGACAGACTCTGAACAGGTCTTTGCCCTTAAGGAATTCTAAAGTAATACGGGAGATTTATTAATTGAACACCTACCATGTTCCAGCCCCTGTTTTAAATGCTTTACATGTTTTAATTCCTCTAGACCAGCGGTTCTCAACCTGTGGGTCGCGACCCCTTTGGGGGTCGAACGACCCTTTCACAGGGGTTGCCTAAGACCATCGGAAAACACATATATAATTACATATTGTTTTTGTGATTAATCACTATGCTTTAATTATGGTCAATTAGTAACAATGAAAAAACATCCTGCATATCAGATATTTACATTATGATTCATAACAGTAGCAAAATTACAGTTATGAAGTAGCAACGAAAATAATTTTATGGTTGGGGTCACCACAACATGAGGAGCTGTATTAAAGGGTCGCGGCATTAGGAAGGTTGAGAACCACTGCTCTAGACAGTTCCAGGAGTTTGGTGTTTGATGGCCATTCACAGTTTTGAGATGAGGAACTGAGCACAGAGAGGTCAGGTCATAGCCGGAGGACACACACATAGCAAGAGAGTGGCAGGCTGAGGATCCGAACCCAGACTGCCAGGCTCTTAAAGCCACTACTTTCAACCACTGAAGCATGCTGCTCATTGCACTCCATACCTGTTATCCCACAAAGAACAGGTCAATATCATAAAGAAGAATGGAAGAGGAATCTGGGAGATGCTGCATTGTTGTCTCTAAACCTCAGTTTTCTCCTGCTCACATTCCATCAGTGGCTCCCCAGTGCTCACCAGACCGATGCAGGGCCCTGAGTCCCCTAACCCCTATGTCATCTTCACCCTCCTCCACCTGCTGCTAGCCACTTGTCCAGCCTAATGTTTCTGAATGCCTTACTCCCCCCCACACTGCTCTCTCTACTCAGCCTTTTCTCCCTCCCACAAGCCCAGCTCCTGATCCACAGCTGCCCAGCACTCACACTGCCAGGCCACCCCAGGCAGGAGTGAGCAGTTGCCCCATCCCTCCCCAGGCTGGTGAGTTCTGGCTCTGACATCAGACACAGTCACTCCCAAAGGTCTAAGAGGTGCTGGCTTCTAATATTGTGATTGTTTTATCACATTTTTTTCCTTTTTAAACCCTTGTAGATATGTATATATTGTAGAAAGTCTGGAAAACAGAAAAGCAGAATGCAAACAAAAGCTCTTAGAATCCTGCACCCTTCCCCAAGAGATAGCTGCTATTAATATATATGGGGTCTGCTCGGCAGGCTTATTCTCTCTTTTTTGCCCTAGTATGCATAGTTTCAAAGCACTTATTTAAACTTCCATGGGCAATAGAAAGTCCCATCCAGGTACCTCTGCCTTGTTTGACTCCTGTATCCCCATGGCCTACAGCAGAGCCTGGCCTAGAGCAGGTGCTCACTTTTATAGGATGAAGGAGGGAGTGTGGTATGCAGTGTGCAGAGGTGGGGAGATTGCACAGACCAGAGAGGAGAAGGCCTTGCCCACCATCCAAGGCTTGAACCTCAGAGGTTGTGCTGTCCCCACAGGGCCAGGGAGGGGAGCCCTGGAGCCAGGATAGGGTGGAGAGGTGTCCTAGAGGGGTCAGGAGGCCCTGCCCAGCCGCCTGCCCACCATTGGGCAGAGGAAGTGGAGGCTATCACGTCAGAATGCGTGAGGGCAGCTTCACTTAGGAGCCATTTACCACCTGCAGCAATTTCTGGAATTTGGAGATAGTCAGAAGACCCAAAGGGAGGGAGATTGGGGGGAGAGGTGCCCCACCTTTTTCCAAGAAGCAGAGGACCCAGACCCTTGGCATCTGGGGAGGCAAGAGTCTTATCTAAAGACTCACAGTCACAGAGCATTGGGTAGTATTGGTTTTTAGGGGATGCCCACTGCATGCCAGGCACTGGTCTAAACCTCACAGTCTCCAGGGCCACACCTCACACACTGATGTAGGGTGCTCATTAGAACCCAAGCCAGGCTGGGCCCTGCTCTCTACCCAACATTTGCATGGCTTCCACCTACTCAGAGAAAAAGCCAAAGTCCTCACAGTGGCCATAGTGCCAGAAGAGCCAGTGACTCTCTGATCTCGTCTTCTGCTTACTCTGCTCTAGCCTCAGCCGCCTGTCTGCCTTTGGACCTTTGCCCTTGCTAATCCTGCAGCCTGAGATGCTTCTCAACCAATTTAGCTACTTGGCTCACTCTCTTGCCTTCAGGTCCCTGCTCAGAAATCATCTCCTCCAAGAGGCCTTCCCTGACTACCCTTGTGTGACCTGCACCCCATAGACCTGCTCTAATGCAGTAGCCACCTACCGCGTGTGGCTCCTGGGCACTTGAAGATGTGCTATGAGGAGCAAATACTCATTGGATTCCAGACCTACTATTATAAAAATGTAAAATAGCTCGCTAACAATTTTTGTGATTCCATATTGCCATGATAATATCTGGATTTGTTGGATTAAATATATTATTAACATTAATTTTATTTGATTTTCCTTACTTTTTTCAAAGTGGCCCTGAAAAAAATTTAGAATGACATGGGTGGCACCTTCACTCTGACCTTTTTTTCTTTCTAGCACTCATTCCACCTGTGGCATTACAGGCTCACCTGTCTGCTTATTAGCGGCAAGCCCCAAGAGGAGGACACAGATGTGTGCCTGCCCCTCTGCTGTACCCCTGCACGCATAGCAGTTGTTGCAAGTGCATCAAGTGCCTGCTCTGTACCGTGCTGCACTAGCTTCGTTCCTGAGTGTGGCTCTTTGTGTCCCTCAGTTTGGGTCTGTCTGGTGTTTCCTCATGATTAGAATGAGGTTATGCACTTTGGGCAAGAATGCCACAGAGGTGCTTCTGTGAGCAACTTATCAGAGGCATACGGGCATCCTTTCTTGTTCACCTCTGCTCTCATTTACATGTTTATCTAAATTGATCCCATTCCATAACTTACTGCTTGGTTTGATCTGAACTTGGGATAAGGGTGGAAAGAAAGGGCAGGAGTTCTGGAGTTCATGGGGAGGGAGAGATTCAGGTCCAGACACCATGCCTGGCTCACTTTGTCCTGCATTTTACTGTCTGTCTTCTGTCTGCCCAGAGATTCAGATGGGCTTCTGGAGGGTGCTCTGGGAGCTCCAGTGGGTGGGAGAGGCTGGGAAAGCAGACACCTGGGCTGACTCACACCTTAGCTGAGCAACATAATTGAATGAGCCCTGGAGAGGAATACCCACCTTTCACTGGTCTTGTGAAGGTGGTAGAACTGGAGGAGCCGGGCCAGACTTGGATAAGAGTTCCCTTTTCAGGTGGAGACTTGGGCCAGAAGGCCTGGCCCATGTCCTTGAGGGGATCTTAGAGAAAACCAGCGAAGCCAGGTGAATGACAGGGGTTGGTCAGAGAGGACTGTAGGATTCCAGAAGTGAGTGTGCCCTCTGCCTGGGCTGGTCAGGGTTCCCAGAGGAGGTGACATTTTCCTTGGGAAGGAATGCTGAGTGGGGCCTGAGGTCAGTGCTGCAAAGGCATGGAGGGGTAGGAGTGAGCAAGGAAGCAGAGAAGCTGGAGCAATGAGGCCCCTGGTGGTGGTGGGAGCTGAGCCGGAGGGGTTGTCAGGGGCCCGGCTGCACTGGACTCTGCTGGCCCCGGGGGTCTGCTGCTCCATGTCTGCCCAGAATGGGACCCGAGGACCCATGGCACCCCTGCTGAAAGCATGCTGGGAAGTCGGCCAGCCTCCGACTCCTCTCTGGTGCCCGGGATGTCTGTCCAGCCACAGCCTGCACACCTCCCAGCACAGCTCATGACTGGGGCAAATGTTCCCCTCAGGCCAAGCTGAGTGTGTCCTCTTGAGACCTCCCCCCTCCTCCTTCCCCTAGTCTGCTCAGAGCTGCCTGGAAAGATGAGACAGTGACAGGGCCCTGAAGAGACTGGACAGTGACAGGGCCCCAGAGCTGCTCCTCTCTAGGCAAGATCCCTGAAATCTTGGCTGCTTCTCACAGCCCCACCTTCAGCCTGGCCTCTTCCCAGGGGACTCCCAGCCTATCTCTGTACCCAGTGCAGGGAGATGCAGGGGAGGGAGGAGGAAGCCCCGCCCTGCAGAGCACAGGGTAGTGTTCTAAGACTTTGGGCATGTGATGCCCTTCTCTTAACCTCCTTTGGGAAGTGGGTGTGAATCCCAGAATTTGCCTCCCAAGGTAATGGTAAGGCTGGGCCCCAGTTGTGGCTGATTGGGTGTATTCCCTTGTTCCTGGGGAGCTGGGTTCTGAGTGTGGGCCTCCAGGCAGGCAGGCAGGCAGGCCTAGCCCATTGAAGGGGGTGTTTGCAGGATATGAAAGGATGGCTGGGTCTGGAATTATCTTCTCTTGCTGCATGTTGGGGACAGGGAGGCAAAGTGGGGGGCAACCAGGAAACCAGGAGCAATTTAACACCTGCACATAATTATCAAATTATCTGCCTTCTGGAAATTATTTTATCTTAATATTTTATTTGGTTTAAAATAAAATGAGAGAAGGACCCAGAGAGCCTGGGAAGGAGGCATCTGGGAGCTGGGGCCACCAGAGTCACGGACCCTTGCTATTCTGTCACAGCACTGGGGTTTGCTTGGCCATTGTGAGAGGCTGTCCAGTTGCTCTTGGGAAAGGTCGAAGCCTGGTGAAGGCAACGGAAATCCCACACTGCTCCAGGGAGGACGTGCGTGTGTGCACACATGTCCGAGTGTCTCAGCGGAGAGCCTCCTGCGCAGTGACAGCAGCCACAGAGCAGGTGCTCATAGTGCACACCCAGACCCTCACCCAACCTGAAGCCCAGGGCTAAACTCAGGAATCTTCCTTTTTATCAACCCTTATTTTTAACTTCCCGGAACAAGTGACGCAAGACTCATACACATCCTAAAGTTTGAAAATCACTACCATAATTTGGCATTTGAGACTTTACAACAGTCAGATTCTTTGGGCTGTTTTAAATCTTTGGAATTCTGGATTATTCTGATTTTAGGGGAAAGGGAAATGTTTAAAATTATTACAACTTCCAGGTGTTTTGACTTTTAAGAACCATTCAAACTCCAGAATGTTCAGATGTTTTAGGGAAGGGTCTTTCATATGTCAGACTCTACACATCCTGCAAAACTTCTGCCCTCCCCATATCGACCCCACCAGTCTTCTTCTTCATTTAATCAGATACCTCTTCAAAAAAAACTTACTTTAGACTAGCTGTAGACTTAAAAAGATAGTACAAAGATTTCCTGTAAAGCCTTCACCCAGCTTTCCCTAATGTTGATATTTGGAAAAACATAAATGTAATTATTAAAGCCAGGAAATTAACATGGATAAACTACCAGTACTCACTCTGAAGGTCTACATGCATTTTGCCACTTTTCACACCAATGTCCCTTTTCCGGCCAGAATCTGCTCCAGAATCCCGAATTGCCTTCAGTTGTGTCTCCTTCGTCTCCACCATTTTAGGACAATTCATTAGTCTTGTTTTGTCATTTATATTTTGTTTATATTTTGAAAGAATGCTGGTCAGTTATTTTGTAAAATGACTTTCAGTTTGGGTCTGTCTGGTGTTTTCTCATGATTAGAATGAGGTTATGCACTTTGGGCAAGAATGCCACAGAGGTGCTTCTGTGAGCATTTTATCAGAGGCATACAGGCATCCTTTCTTGTTCATCTCTGCTGTCATTTATGTTTTTATCTAAATTGATCTCTCTTCATAACTTATCGCTTGATTTAATCTAATCACAAGAAATACTACCCCCAAATTGTAATGGGTTTGATATGCTATAGCCATTAAAATAAAAAGAAAATTTTTTCTTTACCACTTAAAATCAATTCAGTGCCCTCCAGGGCTGTGTGTATCATGTGTATCACTTTTGACAAATGTTGTTTTAGATTGTATAGGCTCTTTGGAACTGCACAAAGTTGATTTGGGTCATTTAATTATTATTTTTTTTTCAAAAAGTCATCAAAACCATCAGATTGTTCACCTACTTAATCTCTCTTGGATTCAGTAGCTGAGAACTTGTAGAAGGTTAGGCATGAGCCCTCTAGCTTGGCCTTCTGACCTGGCTTCCTTAGCTTCCCAATGGCCTGGAAAGCCATGGCTTGTAAGTGACAGATTTCTTGGAACCAAGAAATCTTGGCTTATTTTGTAGCTTTGGGCTGAGGTCCTGGACTCTGCCACTTTATCGAGCCCCTCCCCCCATAGATGAGGACCCCACTCATACTGAAATTTCCCTGTACCCTTGGCGTCCTGCAGAGGTGTTTATTATATGTCAGCTGATATATAAATTTTTAATGGAAAAGCAGAGAGTTCTGAGAAACTATGGGGTCTGCTTCCCAAAAGTAAATCGTCAAATGCAAGCTCATGCAGATATCTCTGGAAGCTGCCGTGTAAGCCCAGACCACCGCTTCTGTGCCCACCACGCCAGAGCCACGTCTACTCTGCCTCACAGTCTTACAGGAATTCCACTTGCTAGACACTTCTTACTGCACTAGACAGGGACAGGGTCCTGGGAAACACTGCTCCCAGCCTTGTGGTATGCCAGGGGAACCACAGCTAATCCACCACAGCCAGGTGTGTCCAGTTGGCATTCTAAGACAGTGTAACACAAGCATGTCAAACTCTCCACCCGCGGGCCGCATGCAGCCCACAACAAATATGTTTGCAGCCCAGTCAATATAACGGTATGCAAGAAATGTTTTAATAAAAATTTTGTAACTTAATTTTACAATATCCTGTTATACATAATTATTAATAACTAACTACAACGTTCGCTAATGACTGATTACTATAATTGTGTTGCATTTATTTCCCTTACGCGCCTTACGTACAGATGCACCATTTCTCTCCACTAATACTGGCAGCGAATATTTTAGCAGCTGATGGCCATGTCATTAATCTTGGACTGACTTGATTGGTGTGCACAACAGGAAACATTTCGCTTTCAGAGAACAAGAAAAATAGGTTTATTTACATTACGCTTATTAATTTGTGTAGTTATCCAGTGTCTGGTAAGTTAATGTTCAAGAAAAAATATTAATTTTTATTAAAATGTTCTATTACTTTATGTTAACAATTACTCGTTTATTTCAACCCTTTATATTCAGCACGTCTCTATCGAAATAAACCTACGTTTCTATGAAAATTGAAGCTTTTGTTTTTTTGCGGCTCACATAAACTTAAACCTTATTTATTTGGCCTGTGTTAGCCTTTGAGTTTGACATGCTTGGTGTAACACATTCACTTCTGAATAAAGACAGGATGACACCGTGTTTATACCTAACCTGGAGCAGCTACCCTTCGACCACCCGAAAGCACGCTATACCTCTCCCCCAAAGTGTAAACGTCTCATAGGGCACTTGGCATCTTCTCGCTGAGCCATGTGCCCCATTGATGTCTGTAATTTAAATGCTAAGATACAGGGTTACCCTAGGGAGCAGGGGAGAGAAAAATAATAGATTAATTATTATTCATATAATTTATATTTCAAGTATATTCATATTTAAGCAAGAAAAAATGCAAGTATATTCATATTTAAGTATATTCATATTTAAGCAAGAAAAAAATACACATAAATTCTATAGTCTTCATTTCCACAGTAATCACTTGGCCTTAGCTGCATTTGTAGCTTTCTTCTTCACTCCCCATTCCATATTCCCTTGGCCTTCATCTGAGCTTGGCTCTTTGGCTCATGGCTGCATTCCTGAGGGGACTATGCCATTAGTGGGTCTGCCTATACTGGGCTGCTGATGTTTTTTATTAACTACAGACATGGGTGTACCCGGAGGTGCCCCAGAGAATCCTTGAGTCCAGGTTCCTGCACTGATTCTGCTGTCAGCATCCCAGGTGGCCCCTCAGAAACCTCTCCTTTAGGGATCCCAAGCTGCCCTGCCACTCAGCACAGTGGCAGGGACCAGCCCAACCAGAAAGAGGTTGGGTTCGAGCAGAAGACAGCGTTTTCTCATGGGTGCTGGACAGCAGCCCAGCAGACGACCACCTGTGTCAGGCTTGAGCCCAGCTGCTCCAGGGGTAAGGTGGCAGGCTGGGCTCTCTGGGGACTCACTTGGACCTCTTTTATCTCACTCTTACATCCAGGAAGCCGGGTCAGTTCTGGGGCTGGAGTGTGTGGGGAGGGCGGGCTGGCAGGGCCTAGGAGGTGTCTGTCTCGGGGATGAAGAATGTGCCATAGGTCAGGAAGGAGCCAGGACATGAGCACAGGGCCGGAGCATGCAGCTACAAGCTGTGGTCCAGACACCGCAGCCATGTACTGTCCCAAGGGAATCTCACAGCAGCCTGGGGTGAGAGGAAGCCAGTTCCCAGGAGACAACTTCATGTCAGTGCAGCATAACACCTCGGCTGGGGCAAGATTCACATAAGCTCTCCCTCCGGGACTCACACACACAGCCTGCAGCCAAGGCGCCTCCCCAAATACCAGTGCCGAGCACTATTCTCATCACCTTAGCTGGGTGTAGTCATTGAATCTTCACAACTCTATGGGATTTGAACCCAAGCAGGCTGGTTTTAGTCCCTGTTCTTCATCCCCAAACTGTTCTGCCTCCTGGAGGCACAAGTTTTGACTGGAACAAGGACCCTAGTTCAGGCAGGTCCTTTAGGAGACTTGCTTTTCTCACTGGTTTGGAGGTAATAGCATCTTCCCCGTGTGGTATGGGACACATCCACCCAGTGCTCCTCTGACCTCACAGCACAGAGGGAGCATACAGGAAATGAGAGTTTAAAATGAAACAAAAAGAAAAGGATATTTAAAAGCCTTTTTGGGTACCCAAATGGGGTTAAACTGACTCTCAGCTCACCTCTAGTTCATCCACTCATTCCTTCATCCAATTTATTTTTCAAACGCTTGCCAAAGTCTCCCCCTGGCCCACAAGCCCCTGTGACCTGGACCCTGTGACCTCTGTCACCTCATCCCCTGGTCACTGCATTCCAGCCACACAGTCTGTCCCGTTGCCCCTTTGCCTTGCCTGGCACACTCCAGCCCCAGGGCCTTTGCATGGCTGTTCTTGCTCAGGGAAAGCTTTTCCCCGAAATGTGCCTTGGCTCACTGCTTCATTTTCAAAGACCATTAATTTCTCAGGGAGACATTCTCTGATTACTACGTTTAAAATGTCAACACCTCCTCCCACGCATCATGTCCCATCTCCCTCCCCAGTTTCATTATTTCTCTTTAATCTTTACTGTACTCTAACACACCAAGTGTAGTATTCATTTTGGATTGTTGTTATTTGACTATTAGATTTTTGTCGAATACATTCACTGCTGCAACCTCAGCACCTAGTGGGCGTTGTGCACATAGAAGGTTCTCGACAAACACCCACAGAATGAACAACACCATGGTCTTGGAGCAATACATATGGGAAGCTGTCTCTGTTCTCAAGGAGCTGACATTCTTGTGGATGACAACAGACGCTTGCACTGGTCACCACCATCTGCAAAGTGGCAAAGTCTCTGGCTCAAGTCAGCCCCGGGCCTCAGAAAAGCCAAAGTAGGCCGAGGAGAGCTTCAGAATTGGGGGAGGGGTAGATTTAGAAATTTGACATTAATACCTCAGGACCTAATTCATAAAACATGTAATTATAGGGTGCCAGTGTTTAATTGTAATTTTGGTAATGACCTGCAACTGCATACAAATTATAGGGTAATCACCTCAAATGTGCTTACAGCTGCTATAAATGCCATTTGGTCCAGCATGGAGCTCCCCAGCCAGTGTCTCTGGGGCTCAGATAAGGGCAGGGTGCTGGGGACATCCTCCATTTGGCTTGGAATGCCACGCTGAGGTGATAGCATGAAGCTGGGCTGCAAACACCAGCTGCCATGAGTTTCTACACCGCCCCCCATCCTCCCATGAAGAGTAAGCTCCTCATAGGCCCCGTTTAAATTATAGCAAGAGTGTCTTCGGCCACACCAGACTGGGTCTGGAAGGGTTGGGGGTAGAAGAGGAAGGTCGGCCTCCTGGCTGCTTGGGGCAGGTGGGGGACCCAGAGTCAGGACCATGGATAGGTGGGCTTCCTTTGTACCTGTAGGGTGGTGGACCAAATTAGAAGTTAAAGACTGGTGGCCTCTGCTGTGTTTTATTTGGGCTGCACAGTGCTCTGAAACAGTGCATCTGTAGAGACTTAGAAAGGGCACAGGCTCTCTCATAACCACACTTGGCACTTCTCCCTACTGTCTCCCCTAATGCCCACTTCCTTTCACTTGCACTTTCACCTTTACCTCCTGGGCCCTGTTGGCACTGAATTGCCTGCACCTTCCCAGAGGCAGTGTCCATGGTAAGAGGAACATGGCCATTGGGGCTAGACACCCAAGGGTTGAAATCTACCCTTACCATCTGAATGGCCTTGGGCAAAGAAAGGGATCTCTCTGAGCCTCTCCAGGTGCCAGAGAGATTATGAACGTGTATAAACTGCCCAGCTTGCAGGGTTTGGCTAACACATTTTCCA